GCCAGATGAACTGACCAGGACGGCCCAATTTATGACAGATACCGGACTTCAAGTGTGATGCGATCGAGAAGAAGAAGAAGAAGAAGAAGCACAAATTCAATCCTTAGAATTGAGCGTAGTGAAAATACATCAAAACGAAAAAAAAACGTGTACACCCAAGAGGATTGAATGAAACAATGAAGAGGCTAGGAGACAGACAGACAGACTAGACGGCTACACACTATACACTTTACTATTACTATTACACTATCGGCACGCAAAAACGTAATGCAAAAATGTTCCATCGCCTATATACGTATTAGTATTAGAACATCTGCCTCTCGCCGCTTTTCGCATTTAATTGCCGCTTTTCACATTGATCCTCACCAGATAAGGACCGGTCTCGAGGCGAGCTTATCAAGATAAGGTCGTCCATCCCGGCCCTCAATGCCGGAGCCAATCGTCCGGGATACAGGGCCTGGACTGAGAAGGCCTAGGTGGGTGCCTAAAGAAAGGCACAAAAAAAGTCGCCACAGTGCCTTTCGAGCTACAGGCTGATAATGGCAAAAAAATCCCTTTTTTGACCAAAATGTGTTTCCATAAAAAATGATAGTTCCACCATTTTTTAACAAAGTGTTAAAAGGGTTTTCATAGATTTGACTTCTAAATATTTTATTTTGAAGAATTTAGAGACTATGGTATTTTTTACAGAGATAATGAAAACTGCTTTTAGAAGGTGTTAAAATCTATTCTTGAAGCATGTTCTCTCGTTCCCGCTATGTTTTACCGTCGAATTCTAATCATGATATTGATGTCAACTGAATGCCAAATTGGAAATGAATGTTCCATGAAAAAAATACATGAGAAACAATTCAATTATCGCTTTTTTCAAGTTTGTATTTGGCCTAAACATAAAAGGTTATTTTCTCAAAATTATGTCGTTATACCCTACTTCACAAAATATGCAATATCTCAAAATCTGCTTCAGATAGCTCAAAAATTAAAAAGCCACTGTGTTCAACATTGAATTTCCTATAAGGTGCACCCTTGACTCAAAAAATCCGACTTGTGGTACCTTTCATTAGGCACGCACATAATGTGATCTGATGAATTCTTCCAACACGAACTCCGGGAAGAGAAGCACCACTGAGAGAATAGACCCTGTTAGCTCCATCTGCAACGAGCAACAACCAGCAAGTGGCGGGCGACTGAGAGTACTTGGGGGGGGTGTCTCGTCGTACAAGTTACGTGTAACTACTGCGTTGGTAGATCTGAACTGAAACCAGAACCCAAACCATGACTGCCTTGTAACAAACAGTTTTGAAAATCGAAACCACTTCCCACCCAGCCAGCGCAGAGAATTATTTCGCTAAAAAAATCAAATCATAACACCACCCAAAAAAACAAAACAAAAAAAAACACCCCAAAAAAAACAACCAAAAACCAAACAAGCACACAAACTGTGCTGTTTTCCAGGTAATACAGAGTTTCCCGCTATGGTTTCGTTTCTCGCTGGGCCCTGATTTCCACGTACAGGGTCGATACCACGACTGTATGACGTGGGCACTGGGCACGCACCCTGGCCAGCCATCGTCTCTCTCTCTCTCTCTCTCTCTCTCTCTCTCTCTCTCTCCCATAAGCTGCTTCTTACAGTCCCTCACCTTTGCTTTATATTTTTTTTTAGCCTCTCAACCCACGTCAAAGCCCAGGACCCTTTGTTAAGAATCTCCCCCACAGAGCTTTATTGTGATCAGTGTACCATGCTTTATGCATGGGATTTTGGGGCTCTTTGCCCTGCTATGGGTTCGTGTTTTTTCCCATTTTGGCCCACTTAATTTAGGTCACGTCCCTTTTCTTTCAGATATGTTACATAGAGTATACTGTCGGAGCCTACCATGTCAATGGTATTTGTATTGCACTGCATGCACCTGAGAGCGGTGTTGTTTTATCTTCTTAATGTCAAACCATAACTTTGCTTGGTCAGTTTAGTTTTAGAACAGCCC